ATTTATATTCTATATCCATTTTTTGAATTCATTTGTCTGTTTGCCAAACATAGAAATGAATTTATTGAAAAAATTTTTGAGTGATAAATTAACGATAAAAGTTGGCAATCTATTAAAAAATCGGTTACTTATCGTGAAGGAAAGAATACGAAAGAGCTGACCATTTGCAATATTAGGCAACTAACAATTATTGAATGAAAATTTCGTAGAATATGAATCTAATTTTGAATTGAAAAATATATTCTAAATTATTCAATTATCCTCGAGCAAAATTGAATATTTTCAATATTCGTCATATTGCTGTCACATATGACTTAAAATGAGAGTTATCCAATGACATTAATCTACTAACGAGTCTGGCTGTGAGTGTGATCGAAGAAAAGGTTCATGCTTCACATTCACTCAATCTAACGATCACCTTTAAATTGTTAGCATGACCTATAAGCATTGTAGATCATATCAGGCAAGATGATACGCCAAGCCAAGCTGAAAAATTTCTCTGTTTGCGGTTCTAGTGTGAGTCGCGGCACATTAAAAGGTGCACCAACACCTGGTCTGCTCCAATACTTATATCTACACCGTAATAAGACCTACAAGCACTTATTTTTACGTCCTGTTGCTTTCATTTACTGTAGATAGCTACTTGACACGGATTTTTCAGTAAATAATACTGATATAATGAGCAATTGTAATAGATATCGTTATACACTGATTATCATAGCTTTTGACATTATATATCTGATCACAACAATATTTTGTTATTGTATTGGACATCATATAAATCCATTCATATTTCGTATATAAATACAAATGTTTTAAAAAAGATAAAAAACATTTACGAAAAATGTAAAATTGTATAAGAAAACAGTCTACTTCTTTATTAAATAAAATAAAATGAAATAAAACATATCTATTTAGAAGTAATAATGACTATGATTTATAGAAATTTTCATAGAGCTCTCGGACATGATTGTGTCCATCAATCAGTATGTTCTTTGAAATATTGCTGCTGATCAGGGCTGCCAAATCTCCTGATTTTTAGAACTTTCTCCTGGTGAAAAAATCTTCTGATACGAGGAGCTGTTTTTAACATTTTCTCCTGATTTTGTGATTTTTGTCAGCTTGAATTTTGCGGACGTCTTCATTCAAAAATTTGAATCATTGAAATAAGAAAACAAGAAAAAAAGAACTGTCACACTAATTGATAGATACAGAAAGAAAATGTTTTGTTTCCTAATATTTTTTTATAAGTAAAACTATCCCCTATGTAAACAAAATTATTTACCAATGTTATATAGGTTCCAGTTCTTATCCTTTCTGTCCAAATGTTATACATATGTAACAATATCAGATGTATAACAGCTGAACAGAATAGGAAAGAAAAGAACAATCACTTAATGTTCTTTTCTTTTGTGTTCAGCTGTTTCAATATGTTCCTGTTCGGCTGACCTACTTTTTAACCGACGTCTGTTCCGAATAAGAAGAATTATTGTTTTAATTTTTATTCTTCTTATGGTTCATTATCTAAAAAGGCAACTATCGACTTCTTTGTCTCTCGTTACTTTGTCTCTCCTTGTATAAATACTCTCTATTTTTCTAATGAAAAGTAGCGAATTGTCATTCATCTATCAAAAATTCAAATATTGTCAATAAAAAGAAAAAAATCTATCGTGTATTATCGAATTTGTTCGACGCAAGAAGACGAAACTATTGATATATCAAATCCATTAGAAGAAGAACGTTTATCAGAATCTGCACCAAAACCGGTAAAAGATGCTGATTCTGCTTCATTGAACAATAATTCAAAACTTACAACTACATCATCATCATCTATCAATGCAAATAAACGTTACATATAGAAATTTAAAAAGGAATGGTTATTGAATCCAAGATATTCATCATTTTTAAAAGAATGCAAAACTGATCAACCAAAAGCATTATGTATTATTTGTAACTAGCGGAGGTATCCGGCATTGCCCGAAAAATTTGATAGTACATCCTTGACACAGTAGAAGGTTTAAAAAGAATCTATCTGTACTGAAAAACAGTTTTATTGTAAAGCAAATTGATACACAATGTTTTTAGTTTTCGATCAGGGACAAAGACGTACAAATTTTTTCCAGTTCCAACTCTTGAGCATGCCACGTAAAGGTGACCATGAGAAAAGCAAGGGATTTCTAGGTTAATGCCGGCAATCTTAAGTGACTGTCCTTGAGCTTTGTTGATGGACATCGCGAAGGCGAGACGAACTAGAAATTGTAGACGTTTGAATTCAAAAGGCATATCAGTAGGAACCATGGGTATTGTGAGTCAAGAAAAACAACGAATATGCCATCATTGTGAGCTAGAAAAAAAGACTCATATGCACGTTTTTTCCTTATGGTATATAGATAGAAACAGTCACACACACAGACTCTCTAGAAAAGGCATTTATTGTAGTAATTCAACAAAAGAAGGGGGCAAACACCCCCCTCAGGTGAAAATTTTGGGTCGAAAACCACCCTATGACCTTTTCCTGGACGAAAGGGTATTTCCTGCAAAATTTCATTGCATTTGCTCATACCGTGTCCAAGTGAATAGCGAACAGACAAACAGACAAACATTCTTCTTTATATATATAGATATACAATTCTCAATCGGAAATAGTGGTATAGGTGACGTCAATAGTCATATAAAAACAAAAAAGCATCAAGATAATCTGAAATCAGTCGAAGCTAATAAATGTTATGTCTTCATATCACTTTTAATGACAAAATTTATTATCAATGTTATTGCTTCTCTTAGCAAAACCAATATATGTATCATTTAGTACAACTACATTTGAACTTAATTGTTTAAGTGCTGCTGAAGGTGTATTATTGTTTCACGGTGTGAAGGGTGTGGGTGTGGCTGAATAATATGCGAGTAACAATGCCCACACCACAAACCCACCCACACCCACACCCTGTTTTAAAATTTATTGTGTGTTTGAAATTCACGTTGAGTTCCATTGAATCCATCATAATTTTTCAACTACTATTGTACTCACGTCGCTGTTTTTTTAACCAAACGTGGTACTGGAATATTAGCTCTAATTGCTGATTCAACTACTTGAAGTTGATTCATCGGAACAGTTCGAAACTGATAATGAGAACAAAACCTACGATGAGAAATATAAAAAGTTTATCAGCATTTGATACAGTGTAATTAACAAAACTTAAAGGTATATATACAAGTAAATCGAGTATGGTATTAAAAAAACCGCACTGGTTTCGAAGTGAAGCATTTTTCAAAGATAATCTTTTGCTAATTGAAGAACAATAAGTAGAAGCAAACACGAACAGATCGAAAGTTGGCTTTCTATTTGTTCTAGTGGACTACGTAATTGATATCTCATATATGTGACGTGAATCAGGTATTTGAATCATCAGTTGTTCGATACTTAATAGTGATTGTAGAATCAGTGGTGGCCACAAATAATACTTGTTGATAAGATTCCTTATCGGACTGTTAATTCACGAATCGAATGCGAAACAAAATAACTGGAACTTTTCTCATACACGAAAACAGCCTTCCATTTTTGCGTGCCATCTTTGTTGTTTCTTTATGGCGCTTAATCTAAACATGATCGACAATAATAGTGTTTCCTTCTTAGGAGACACTTATTCTTATTTTATTGACTGTTCCACTATTGATCTGAAAAGCCGCAATTGATGAAAGAAAAAACGTTGGTACCAATAATGATTCTATCATCCGGATAAGCCCATATAAAAGAATGAGATTAACTGCCCATATTTATTGTGACAACAAGAAAGTATTTACATAATTCCATCAAAAGAGTTAATGATACTCAATAAGGGAATGAAAAAGAGAAAGGCACAAATAAAAAGTCTATTAAGACAAGAAAACAAAACCACAAACCAACAAAAAAAGAACAAGTAACTAAATATTATCAATTTAAAATTGGCTATAGTCTGGATGGTCCGATTGTTGTTCCGCCACTGTTAAAGTTGTTTTAGCAACAGCCGCCGGAACAAGAACAACTCCGGGTGGCAAGATGTGCGGTGGAACTGGTGAAACAACCTGAACGATCAAATTTCTGTGAATGAAAACATAAATGAAACACATGGAACAATCGAAGTAAAAATTTACCTGTTCGATTGCGGAGCAGAAATGTAGGAAATAATTTCCAAGGGGAGAACAACTTTTGTTTTATGTTAGTGCTGCGCCCGGAGTTGTTTTTATTGTTTTCGCTCTTCACGCCGCTTTTGTTTTTGAAGTCGAAAATTAATTTGATTTCGATGTCCTATTGAAAAACATGAGTTGAATTCCAAAAAATGCAAAGCAACAACTTACGGGAAATATATATAGGATCCATATGGAATGAGAGAAGGCAACACAAGTGAGAGATATTATAATTGTTCACATTGGAAGAAATGTTGAGCTATTTATATGGCGAAACAAAGGCTGTTGATTGTTTGTTAATGATCAAAAGGATACTTGAAACTTAGCGGCAAAGAAAGTGACAAACAAAGTTGAAGGTGATAGAAACAACAAGTCGGCTAAATAATCCATTACAATAGTAGAGAAGTGATAAGTGAGTGTGAAAACTTATCGACTAACCGAAAAGAAACAAAGAAGATAATCTCATAACGGAAACTTGTATAAGGCGTATGATTGTATGTGATAGTCAATACTGGATTATAAATAGCGTATTATTTCAATCATTTCTTATAATTTGATAACGTTGTTAAATTTCTTGTAATCTAATAACACTGTTAATTTTGTTCACTTGTAAAGTAAGTTTCGATTTCATGTAACTGCCGATATTCATAAGGAATGTTCTTTTGTTCTGATTTTTAGAAATGTCTTCCACTAAACAATCTTCAAATGATGTTTCGTCGAATGGTTTACGTTCAGATTTTCTTATTTGTATCGATTGTGTTACAAATATTGAAAATTTGTTCAAGCACCTCGGTAATCCATTATTTGTGGATGAAAGTTGAAGTTATACGCAAAGAATGTATCTTTTGAACCATCGTCATACCATTGAAGGTCGTTTCGTTGAAATTATTGAAGATTGTATTCGAAATCAAATTAATGCCCATCAAAAGCATCAAGCATGTCTTGAAAATGTTCATCGCCTGAGTAATAATTATTCAGACATGTTTCCTCATTCAAATACCAACAATATAGTTTTTGCTGATGATAGTGAAGAATACACCGAAGAAGATAATAGCGACGATTCATACACAGATGAATCTGATAGTTATGACGATTTGGAGAATATTATATTAGATGAAATTGAAATGGAAAATGATCGCCGTCTTTTTCGATTAACCATACCGAATGTTGATGAAAGTGATTTAACGGATTAAAATAATTTTGTTTATTGTATCATTTTTCGTTGTATTGTAGTGCATTATGTTTCTATGTTTCTATGTCTCTGTTTTCTTTTTTGTTTTTTTTCTTACTTTTTGTGTAGTTCAAAGGTATTCAAAATACTGACATGTAATATTGCTGATATTGATAGCTCATAAAAAGGTCTACATCTTATATACGAAATTCAAGACTCTGCTAGTCAGAAATGAGTTGAAATTAACAACGAATAACGAAACTCTATTTTTACGTATCGGAGAAATTTAGTAACGTTTTCATCGGCAGGTTGACAAGTAAAAGAATAACCGTTGCACATATCTGAGCGTTTGAAACCATGCGACGCAGTCAGAAAAAACAGAAAGAATCTAAAAGCTGGAAATAATTCGTTGTAAAATCGCCTAAATTTTGAGGCTTTTCGCAGTAGTTAACCCTGCTGACATACTAGATCTAATTGAATTGCTGTGTTCATGAATGAAACGTCAAACGAGAAAAAAATGCTCAGAAAATGGCGCCCAATGTAATTGTTTTTCAGAAAGCATATGGTACAAGCAAAACAAGACAAATTGTCTTGAACTTTATTTAATAACTGTACACCAGCAGCATAGAAAAGAAAAAATGACAATTAAATGTGTGAGTAAGGCTTCATAAGCCCTTCTCTTATGAAACGGGATAAGAAGGGAAGAATACAATAAGACAATTTTTATGAGAAAATTAGTGTTTACAGATTTGTAATTAACAATTTGGAAGATTATTTACATCTCTAGTGAGTTTCTAGCATCTGTCCTGAAGATATCGGAAAGGTTTTCTAAATAGTATACGATCATACAGATTCATCCATGAATTTAAATTTGATGATCCACTGTCTTCAATAAGTGTATTGTTTTCTTGCATGCGATCATGTTTCGATTTTTCATTTTGTAGTCTCTCCAAAACTAAGGCACCGAAAGGATCAGCTGTATTGATCATTCCCTGGAAATAAGAAACATAATCACCAGCACCATCTTTATAAACTGCACTGACAAACTGATTAAAATCCTGATCTTCGCCATTGTACGCCGTCATACCACCAGTTTGTTCGTATAGTAAAGCCATCAGGCCGATACTCGGTTTGAAAAACTTTCTATTCATTTCATCAGTTTTCTTTCGAGAATTAACATGCAAAGTATCTATGGCCTCATCTAAAAATTAGTAGAAAAAAAATGTATTAAAGTGTTATGAGTATAACCTCATCAAAACTTAGATAACACCTGATTCTAAACGGTTTTCTTCTTCGTCCACGTAGACAACAGGATCATTCGTCAAATAATCGATTTCATTATAGAAACCACTCATGTGACCATCATTTGTTTCACTATCATTGTAAGATCCTGACATCGGGAAGCAATTTTTATCTAAAACAAAACCTACCCAGTTCACAATGGGAGACTCTATTGATAGAAAATTGGTTGTTTTTTTTAAATATATTATCAGTTGTACGCAGTTATTTTACTTATTACAGCAATTCGTACTGGCTATCTTTTTGTTTTTGTTGTTTGGAATGTGTATCATTATTATGTTTCTTTTTTTTTCTAGTCTCTATAACAAGAGAATTTTTTTTTCTTTTCGATGAATGGTGTATAATAATTCACCAATCACACTGTTGACGTCTTTGTTCATTTTTCATACATACAATCTTCCATCTTCTTTTCTCCTCTCGTCCAAGTGGCCGAATGACGAGCAGCGAATCATTACTCGTACTCTGTTGATTATATTTTCTTTGAGCAAGTGAGAACAATAGTAGAGAGAAGTAAAGAGAACTAATTCTTCTCTCGATCAATCCCTCTCTCTCTTACACCTATAAATACTCGTGCATTTTCATTGTATTGTTCAGTATTCATATTGTCGATATTCTGAGTAAGTTATATTCTCATTCTTTTTTCTTTTATTACACTGCAACAAATTCTCTTTCCATTTACGTTCTCTTCTGAGATGATACTAGCTTCTTGTGGAATAACTCAATTCTTATTATACTCTCATGCCATCTAAAAATTAATAAATCACACTTGTTTTTATAACGCTGTTTCTTTCTACGGACTATGCAACTATAGATTTCTAGAACTACTATTATGATTAGTAATCAAGAATACTATAAACATTTACAAGATCGATTAATCAGTGAACAATCTTTTGCAAAATGTACTACAACAACAATATGGTCAACGATCAGAAATATAGAAACAGAAAATGCTGATAAAACTTCCACAACAGCTGTAATCTTGAATGGGCAAAAGTTGTATCATATCGTTATAAAAAATTTATTTAACAAACTGAATATCAGCTGTATTGAAATGAATAGTGCACCGAAAATGTATCGTTTATATACGGGAGATTCAATTTCAATTTTAATAAGTTTAATCGTGATAGCAGTGACGTGTTTTCTCTTAATGACTTTTATCTTTTTATTTTGTATCAAAGTCAAGAAACTCGTGAAAAAGTATCTTGTGAATCGTACCATTCAAGATTCAGAACATACCATTGAAAGCCATTCGGTTTTTGCCAGGCGTTCACTATCGCCAGAAGAAAGAACTCAACCGCTTTAGAGTCCTAAAAAGATTCGTCGGGTAAAAGAAAAGACACATTCTTTTTGTTCCAAGAACTATATTTATTCTTTTTGCATTTTTTATACAGACTCATGTACCAACACAGACTGAACTGCCTGTGTATTATTCAACAATTCCATCGATTAATCATTATTTAGTGTCGAAACATGTGCCACGTTTACATGAATTCTCCGTTTAAAAAGAAAACTATCTTTATGTTTGCACGAATTGTCATGAATTCTTAATCTTTTAGCTACTTTACCGCTTTTACGAATAATAAGATATCTTTTCTTTTCAGATCATATAAATGAGCACTACAGCTTCATCTGAACCTTCTTTCAATAGTCATGATTTATCAGACGAAAAACCAGACGAAGCTGTAGGGAATATAAGTTCAAAATCAATGGATGGATTTGCCTATAAAAAATTGCTTTCTTGGTGTCATGTTCTTGACTATATACTTGATCCGAACGAAAATAGTAACACTCTGATAGACACAAGTCCAATTGAAGTGTTTTCGTCAGAAGTAACCATAATTATTTCTTTACAATTCTCATCAATATTATAATCTCTTCTCTATCTTTGATTTCTTAGAGCAAGAACAAGGAAGATTTACAACAGCTGGTCATATCTGAAATAACACAGTTATTGGATTATGTTGACGATATCAAACGACTAAGAGACACTAAGTTCTCTTTCAAAAGACTTTAAAACGACCCTTTCTCTAAAAATCTCACACTTTTTTCTTCATCTTTTTTTGTTTCGTTTTTGTTGCTGTTTTCTATGAAGATGCTTCGTACGATGTATTCGTTTGCTCAACTTTGTATTTATGCGTTGTTTCAGATAATTTCTATCATAAATTATACTGACTTCATTTGTCGCAATGAAGGACGACTGCTCAGTAAACGTGCTTGGTATGGACTATCAATCGATAACTTTAAATGATCGGAATACTCACAAGCGTCTCGCTTATCTACCATGCTTTCCTTTTGATATCGGCGAGGAGATCACAGACTCCTCAAGACTTCTTTACGCCAATGTACCACGTAAGTCCATATATGCTCTTCACTATATAAATACGCTTCTATTTTCATTTCTGGGCTGTTGTTTGAGTTTCCAACAGTTATTACAACGTGATTCAGAACTGTTTAATTATACTTCGTATACCAACTTAACAAGAGATGACCAAAACGGTCAATATCCATCGTTTGCTTACTTCATGTTCTCTAGACATTTCTCCAATTTGATGCATCGGTTAAAAGTAACTGTATCTCTTCTTGATTATAATCTGTTACGGCTACAAGCTTTTATTTTAAACCAATATCCCATAATTTTTCATATGGAAAGTAAATATTTTACTCTTCTACATGATTATGACGAAATGGCTCTGGCACTGGAATGTTATCTGCAGATGGATATTGACTTATTCTATATGAAAACATGTTCTTTTAATGGTGCACAAAATGATACATTCGATAAATGCCTCTTTAATAATGATCAACATATAAATATTCGTTATAGTCTTTTACCATGTCGGCAAAGTAATTGTTGCGTTTGTCAAACCACTTCGTCGCCATCAATACGATTTAAATCGTTTGAAATACATCGTTTCGTCAATGGATACGAATCCGTTTTAAATTGTCCTGTTACATGTGCAACAAAAAATATTATCTACGTTTTCACTTGCCCATGCCAGCAATATGAATTTATTGGGTCAACGAAAAATAGCTTGAGGGATGTTATTCGGTATTATCGAATACAATTAAATCGAGTAATACATGAGCATTTGACTGGGTTAAAATCAGATCCTTATTTCTATCTGTCAACATCATTATTATTCTCTTCTATATCAGATACGCAATTGTATACTCATATCTTACAATATCCGATACTTTTAGAAAGATTTAAAGCGAATCCAATATACTATAGTTTTATTCCGATGTCATTAAGAGATGTCATCCAGAAAAATTTATCAATTAATATTCAGGATTTCTCTACTGCCGCTACTGTTTCTCCGTCATGTTTCTTGTCTACGCCGACAATTTACATAGAAGAATCAAGAGATAATCAAGAAGTTTCGCACAAGCTACTCCATGAAATTGATCAATGTATAAGTCACCTACTAAAAGTGTCCAAGAAAGCTGTATTTACATCGAGCCAGCGGAAACAACAACGCCGATTTTTCCAACAATATTTAACGAAACAAAAGCTCATCATTAATTTATCAGATCTATATGATATATCTATACTTTGTGTATTACCTGAATCATCTTCGTGTAATTTGCGTACAGTTATTCAAGGCCTTTACATTTTACATGCTGAACCAAATTTAAATGAATAAATGACCCCCTGTCTATAACCTTTTTCTGTTGTTCAAATTATGTCACGAAAAGAGTGGTATTAACTATAAATCTTTTGTTTTGTTTTTGTTTTTGTTTTTTTGTTCTAGATTATTAGTCTAACTGGTTTATCGATCTTTATTCGAATGCTATCCAAGTCGGCCCATCATCATCACCATCAACAGCTATTATCCACAGAAGATGCGGATTTAGTATCAATTTTAACACAAGAAGCACCCATGCAACCAAATCTTCACACATCCCAAGAAGAAGAATATACTTTTGTTACTTTGCGAGCGGCTAATATCGAACGTTGTTTATATTTACCTACGTTTCCATATGAGATCTCAACTCCAATCGAGCGGATACCTTTACTATTACTGAACGTATCAACAGCGTTGTTAGGTACGCACGGCTTGAATCGTCGATACGGTATATATTACGACGATCCATTGATACCCCTAATCATGAACCGTCAAATGGTATCATTTAGTGCTCTTATGTATCAGGAACATTTTCATGATCTAATGAAACGTTTAAATATTAATTTGGCCTTGACTGATTTTAATCTAGGCTGTTTTTATCAGATCATAGCTCACTTTCAAATGATAAAGCGAATAGTAGGCCACCGTTTCCCTCAATACAATAACAATCATGCCGCATATTTGTTACAACAGCAACATGTTCACCTTCAAAATGACTTAGTCAAACATACTTTTCAAGAATTAATCATAGGGTTTGAATATTTTTTACAAATTGACGTCGATCTTTTCTACATGAAAACCTGCTCATTTCGTGGTGCTCTGCCACGATCACTTGATGAAGGTTTATTTTGTAAGTCTCATTTACCTGCCGTACTCTATGCATTACAACCATGTGACCAAATGAGTTGTCCAGTTTGTGAAACACCATCTACAACTGTTCACTTTAATTCATACAGAGCTCATCGATTTGTGAATCATTACTACGCTATATTGAACCATCCAGCTAATTGCCAGACGCAGAATATTATTTATGCGTTAACTTGTCCATGTGGTAATTATGATTTCATCGGATCGACAACGTCTAATATCACTGAAGTAATTCAATGTATACGTGAGAAAGGTAATCACTTTATTCACAATTCATTGTTAGCAGCAACATCATTTCATAATGCTCTGTACGATACAAATCATTTTCTTTCGAATGAGAAGGAAAAATTTCGTTTATATTTGCATTCATCACGTTGTACAAAAGCGCTTCAATTATTCTTAAATATGAATTCGCAATATGATTGTTTTGTTCCAATGACATATGAAGAACCGATGGTGGATGACGAAGATAATGCTGAAGAAGTATCATTCATGGAGGCAAACGTACAATTGTTAGTCGAGCATGTTCCAGTACCACCCAACGGCTATACTTTCTCTAATAAACAACGGCAAAAACAACAACAATTTTTTCAAAAGTTAAGTTCAAATGGAAATTCTGGAAGACTATGGTCGCCGATAGATCTTTATCATGCTGCAGTAATTGCGGTTCTACCCGAAAATTGTTCCAGTTTACTGCGAGAAGTAATCGAGTGTCTGCTTGTCACTTATGCTGAAATAAAATTAAACATGTTCAATTTACGTACAACAGACATTCAACAATTATATGGACCTCCCTATGAGGGAATTTGGTGTGAAGGTGTAAAACAACCATTTTTACATGCGCCTTAGTACATGAAGAAAACCTACAAAAACAAAAATTTCTCTCTTTTCTGTAAAACTGTTGTATCTATATGTAAAGAGTAATTGTATAAAAGTGTCTTTATTTATTTGTTAATAAAATCCGTGTATAGTTTGTGTCCTCTTCTTGGAAAGTTAAAGTCAATTAGAGGATAAAAAGAAATATTATACTATAATTTCTTTCATTTTTCTTTCCAGATAGAATAACAAGCACTCGTATACCATCAAGGACATTATTATCATCCTGGGACATTCCAAATTCAACAAATTATATTCAACCCCATGCATCTATTGGTGATTTCTTCTATCGAATCATACTCTGTCTTTTAAATATGTCCTGCATACAATCATGTCATCTCTTCAGCAACAATGATGGCTTCCCTATATTCCCATTAGCCATAGTGCAGCAACTTATTTTTTAGTTTTTTTACTGTTGTTAAACATAACGTGTTCTGTATGTTTTTTTGTCTTTTTACTGACTGTTCGATTCTCAAAACTTTTGTATCTGTATATTTGTGATACTGTTAATGTATCTATTCGTACCTTTTTTTCTCTTTCGATCAACTATTATTCTAATTTTGATGTTGTTTTTGTTTTGAGACATCCTGAACGTAGATTCATTTTTCAAAAAATGCGGAAACTTCGGATTTAAATCCGAGAGTTATGTGTACTTCAAAAAGTGAATCATACGAATCAGTCATCCTAGACTGTCTGAACATCAAAATTATACTGTGAAATCTACCATTTAAAATGTTGATTTCTCTTGCGGGTTGCCAAACCAATAGGACTTGAGACCGAATACAGCTCAGATTTGAACTCTTTCCCTTGATTTACCCTAAGAAAGTCATTTTTCCTATAACTTCATTTCTATTGGTCACTGTACAACTAATAGTATTTCGATGGAAGTGTAGTACACATTCGAGTTCTTCATCTCTGAAAACCTCAGAGTATCATCACTGTGATCGGAAGATAGAGCTCTCTTTGTGGATCAATTAGATCGTGGACCAAAATATAACCTAGTTCTCTTCAATTATCCTTGTCATAGGTAAGTCAACCTTCTTGTTTCTTTATGTTTTATATATCATTTTGTAGCTCTTGAAATTCTCTATCGAATGGTATATAATAGTTGGGGTTTTAATTGACTATGATAGGAAAAGTCTTTTACGAAAGTCGCGATAGGTCCATTTTTCCACAGAAAGCTATAGGGAAAAATGGGTATTTTTGCAATAACTCAGGAACGGCTAGGCCGGTCCTTCTCATCTTCGAACTCGACCGAGATATTGTCAAGACTAAGCTGTGTAGAAAATTTCATCACAATATGACTCTCCTTTCGAAAGTTATCGTGTTAACGGCCGGACGGACATACTGACCGATTCTAGAGTGTACTCACTTTTTGAGTACACAATACTCACTTTTTGAGTACACAAAAAAGACGTATAGACGTATACTCTACTTATAAAAAAAGACATATACACGTATACTCTACTCCGAAAAACAAGTAACACTCGTCCGAGGACTCGCTCAGCTCTTTCTCGTAGAAATTGTCTTTCTGAACTATCAAGGAACTATTTATTTATAAAATTTTAGAAATCAAACGAAGCAAACTCCTGCTGTGTCTTTCTGTTAAGTTCCTCTAGATGTTTTAGCTCAGCATCTTGAGCAAGAGACGGTTGGATTTGTAGCACTTTCATGTCGAAAGGTCGAAGAATGGCCACATTTTCTGCTCTCTTTACTCTGCTGAGTGGTACATATATTGATGTCACTTGCATTGTTCCAAGCGGAACTTGAAGATCGACGACGATTTTGTTCATTGTGAGTCCTTAGGCCTCATAAGTAGTTATTGCGAAGGCAGGCACGATTGGCAATTGCGTTCTTGTAACTTGAATCGTTTCTGAAATCTTTTTCTTACCTCTCACACGTTCAATTAGTTGACCGAAGAGATGCTTGATGGGAACAGTAAATTGTTTTTTTATCAGTGGAATAGGGATTAGTTTGGGAGGAAGACCATCGAGACTTGTTTCTACTTGTGATGTATTAATTTTCACGAGCGCGTATAACGGTTTTCGTATGTAGATCGTATTTGAAGGAAATACTTCGCTCTTTACCTTCAAGCCACCAGGATTCTCCTGATCATCGTATATGAGTTTTCGAAAAATTCCTTCAGTGCCGTTCGAGAGCCCTAGTTCACAGGCGATGTTATTGGTGAGAAGCACAGACATGTTTGGTACGAAAGATAGGAGACCGGGAAGAAGCTCGGTCTTGTTGTCAGGTAGATGGTTTCACTTGAAGTTTCTCTTGAGAATAACGACTACCAATTATTACATCATGGGGCAGCGAGCTATAGATTTCTATTTAAGATACCTATTTACACACTTAACTACTCTCGATATCATAGAGCTAAAGACTCTTTTTAAAAAATGGTACCTTCTCTAAAAAAGTTGATCCACAAAAAGTTTTAAAAAACTAACCTCAGATTCGAGTTCCTCGACTCCGATTACCCTTCGATCAACCCTTATAAAAAATCTTTTTTTTTTGTAAAAAATTGGTCCTTTGTCTAAGAAACATTGATCCACAAAATATTTTTAAAAAACTGACCTCAGATTTGAGTTCCTCGACCCCGATTACCCTTTGGTCAAGTTTTACGGAAAATAACTCCTTTTATTTTTACATTGTTTTTGGACCAATCAGTGAAGTGCGGACACATAAGCAAGCAAACAATTTATTCTTGCTAGACTCTTCTGTACAAGAAAGAGAACCATGTGTAAACGTACATACTGTCTTCGGTTTCCGTTAGAAACATTAGTCAAAACGTCAATAATATCATTCATATTCAATTCACAAATGCGCAATTTTTCCTTTTCGAACCATGGCTCCTATTTTGCATATACTCGTAAGGCATGCACAATATATGTGGTGTAGTCTGATTCATCCATGTAGGGTGGATTGTTGTTTTTCTTTCTTTCTTTCTTTCTCTCTTCTATGCCAGTATTCTAAACGAGAAAAAAATTGCACGACGTTGAGTAATTATATATATATATATAACGCAAAAAACACTACGCATTCATTTTTCGAATTTTCTATGGCTGATACAGCAACCACAAATACGTTGGTTGCAACAACGATAGGAGTAAAACCCTCTATCGTTCGCTTCAATGTCGATCAACAATGTCCTATTCAGTATGTTACTGTCTACAACGATCGTGCGGAAGTAACACGGTCTTTACAACATCATTTTGATGCTGAAGGTACATATGATCTTGTGCTCGATGGCTTTTCGACATTTGTCGATGAAACATCATTACATGTCAGTGGTGGAACGGGCAAATCATGCACCATTCTTGAGGTATCGTATCAAACACAATATGAAGATGTCGCTCTACCATCGGATTCGACGCCACTAGATAATGTCCAAAGTCAACTCGAAAATGTGCAAACCGGTATAAAGATGCACAAACGCGAATTGGCACGACTCGAAAAGCAACGTTTATGGCTTGATGGACGTTCAGCCAAATTAATGAATCAAGATGGACCATGTACGGCCAATGATCTGGATAATATGCAGAAATTTCTCGAATTCTATCGCAAAATGCTGTTAAAACTCGATGATGAAACAGTGCGCGAAGAAGACGAAGTCAAGAAGTTAAATGATCGCGAAAACGCTTTGAAAGCTCAAATCAATCAACATGGCGCTGAAGCTCAAGCGAATCGACGAAAGACGTGTCGAGAAGTGACCATTACAGTTCATATCGCCAGTGCTCAAAAAGATGTGACACTTGAAATTTCCTATTTGATCAGTAATTGTTCTTGGAGTGCCAGTTATGATGTCCGTGTCAGCAGTGTTGACGCGAATCGACAACGAACACAATTAACGTATTATGGAATTATTGTAAGTATTTGAACTTACAAATTCTAGGAATGATTCCAAGAGACTTACTAATCTTTAGGTGAACAAAAGTCAAGAAAACTGGCATGACGCAAGTTTTTCGTTGTCTACTGCAACGCCGTCCTTGGGTGGAACACTGCCGAAACTGAACACACTCAAAATTGATTATTGCAAACCACCTGTCACTTATCATAGGCAACGTTCTCTATCAGAAACAAATCGATTGGAGTGTTATGATGCTGTAGCAGAACAAGAAATGGCTATAAGACCACAAATGAAGCGCTTAAAGGGTGCATTCAGATCATTTCGTGGTAAATCATCACTGGCTTATGATCCAACCGTTGAAGACACCGATAAAGAATCTGCCGAGATAACAGTCAACGTTCTTGCCTCGAAAACCGAAACCAGTATGTCCAGCACGAGTTTTGTCATTCCACGTCGATCAACTATCGATTCAGATGTCAGTATTATTTTCCGTGTCGTTAAATATCTATGTACTTTGTGCTTTCTTTTCTAGGGTAAACCGCACAAGGTCACGATTGGTGTTTTAGATCTCACTTCAACATTCACATACACAGTTGTGCCGAAAATGTCACTTCATGCATATCTTAAAGCATCGACGGTGAACACATCGGATAAACAACTTCTTACAGGACCGGCATCTATCTTTATGGATAACAATTTTGTCACACATAGCTCGATTGACAATGTTTGTATTGGTGATACGTTCGACCTTCCACTAGGTACGGATGCCAGTGTCAAAGTTGAATACAAGCCAGTGAAGAAAATGACCGATACACAAGGTCTCATTTCGAAAGTGCATCATGAGACAATACGTCATGAGACACATATTGTAAACACGAAATCAACCGAAATCACAGTATTCGTCTACGAACAAGTGCCTCTATCTTCGGATGAGAAAATCAAAGTTAAATTACTTTCACCTGAACTACGACAAAAGGATAACGCACGCAATTGCACGGTAACAATGAACGATCGAAACAATTTGGAATGGAAATGTATATTGCCAGCACATGGAGAGTATAGATTTCCGTTAGAATATATGCTTGAATGGCCAAAAGAGAAGCGTGTTGAATTCAAGGAAGAATAGCAATGAACTTCTTAGTGCATTTATTTTCATGAAAGAGCGCGCAGTTCTCATTTAATATTGTAAACAGATTAATGCTTGAAAATAAATTCATGTCGTACAGATGTGTATGTTTTCATTTTACAGTTGAACAGAAAACACGTCTTTTTTGCAAAAGTGGTCACAGTATAGATCAGTACTTGCTTCAAGTGGTACTAGAGTGTGGATATGGATGCCGGTGAATATGGGTGTGGGTGCAGATGTGGCGGATATTCACACCTGCATACAGACTCTTCCTCACACCCACACTCACACTCTTTTCTAAGATATTTGAAGGAGATCATAATCCTTCTTATGTCCACAACCGGAAAAAAAGATTGTTCAAAAATACAACATTACTAGTCTCGAGTGAAGGTAGTATTTTAGATTTGAGTAGAAAAGGATATTTGATTGGAAACGGTTGATCTTAAATGTCCGATGTTGTTTACCAATGTTCATTAGATATTTTGTCTGGCAAACAGCATCAAAATGAAATGGAAATATTCGTGACGTGGTCGTATGAAGTGAGCCAAAGTTGGCATGAGCCTAAGTGGAGTCCATTAGTCCATACTATACCTATTTTAAATATATGGTACTCTGATACCGGAAGTGCCATTCCCATAACAGAACAATAATACTCACAACCCAGAAGTACTGTTCCCAAAACAGAACACACTTGTTCTGCTATGGGAATGACACTTCCGGGTTGTGAGTATTATTGTTCTGTTATGGGAATGGCACTTCCGGGTTGTGAGTATTATTATTCTGTTATGGGAATGGCACTTCCGGGTTGTGAGTATTATTGTTCTGTTTTGGGAAAATAGTTAGATGGTGATGAAGTAAGAACTCGCATTTTGATTGGTCCATTTTCTCTATATGAAGTGAACCACGTTTCTTTCGGTAGCATGCTTGGCTCACTTCCTATGACCTCGTGACGTGCAATATTTCGTAAATGATATTCGAAAAGAATTAATAAAAAAAATGATACATTCTACTGCAACCAAAATGAGCTCGTTCGAAAACATCATCATCTGTAGAGAATCTTCCTGTTGATCAATAATATGACGATTCTAGAAGTTTTGAAATCAATCCAAATTTTAATGTCTACTTATATCAAAGACGTTATCTAGTACCTTAGATTAGTTTGAGTTGATTATTGAGACAATAAGATGAATTACAACAAAAAACCTTATACAGTAACAGTTTCAACTTACTGATAAACACATCAATAATGAACGTTCAAGTCTAATCAACTATTTAATGTTTTTGTACTAGCTTTTGATATGACATCTGTTAGAATCAAAATTACAGAAACAATAGATAAATCATGATTATTCAAATAACAATTTTTATCATAATTTTCTAATATAAGCAAATTGGATTTAGAGTTTAGATCAATTAGTAATTGACTTTCTGTTAGGGATCATACATCACAAATGCTAGAGAAATAAGTATATCTTGTTATCCGACGAGTTTAAATCATCAATTTTTCTGTTGAGATTATTTGTTGTATATATTATTGTTGCTTTGTATGATGCACAAAAGAGTGAGAAATCTTATGTAAAATACAAATAATCAATTGTATTATACAGTATTGAGTAGCGAATTATTCACGAGAGCAGATAAAGTGCAGGTAATTCGAAGTTCAAGTAAAATTTTTTCTTCGCGTTTTTATTACATCATTCAATAGAGCCTGAGCTGGTGACCATAAAAATCTACTTTTTATCTCAGCAAATGCTTCCTTTCTGTCGAAAAATACGAAATACTCGAAAGCGGTCGTTTTTTCGAGAAAAACACATCCTTTCTCGAAATGTGCGAAATTTTTTTATTTTATTCTTTTTTGCTTCTAAAAATAATTTTTTCAGATTCAACATCAAAAACTAAATAGAAAAAATTTCTTAAATCGACTTCAGACCCAAAACTGTATTGGTGGTAACTCTTCGAATCGCGTCGAATGCATCAGATATCGATCGATTTTGCAAACCTATCTAGTTTTTCTATGTAAGTGATGGAATCAAAAATTGTTTTTACTGGTCGAGTTCAAATAAGACTTTTAGTCATAAATTAAATACAAATTCTGAATCAACCCAAAAACCTGAGTCAAATAAAATGTCTTTCAAGTTAATTTAACAACTTTCATTTTTTCTCATTCTTTCAGATATCGTTAGAGGACTGAAATTGTTGTATACAGGTCAAAAAATGAAAGTTGTCAAATTAACTTGAAAGACACTCCATTTGACTCGGTTTTTTGTGATGATTCAGAATCTGTATTTATTTTGTGGCTAACAGTCTTATTTGAATTCGAAGACCGTTGAATACCGCCTAAAATGACTATGGTATCAGTAAAAATGATTTTTCTCAAGACAGGAAAGGAAAAAAACTGATACTTCGTGTGTTGAAGGGTAGTATGATGAATAGAATGAGACAGAATATTTGACTCCATCACTTGCATAGAAAAACTAGATAGGTTTACAAAATCAACCTATGTCTGATGCATTCGACGCGATTCGAACCGTTACCACCAATAGAGTTTTGGGTCTGGAATCGATTTAAGAACTTTTTTCTATTTAGTTTTTGATGTTGAATCTGAAAAAATTATTTTCAGAAGCAAAAACAAGAATAAAATAAAAAATTTTTCACATATTGAGAAAGGATGTGTTTTTCTCGAACAATGACTGCTTTCGAGTATTTCGTATTTTTCGACAGAAAGGAAGCATTTGCTAAGACTAAAAAGTAGATTTTCATGATCAGCAACTCATGCTCCACCCAATGATGTAAAAAAACGCGAAGAAAAAATTTTTACTTGAACTTCGAATTGCCTACACCTTACCAATAAAAGTTTTTTCTTATGAAAAAAAAAATATCAAATTGAATTGAAAAATCAAGTAATCCTAAATCTATGGTTAAAATAATCATATGTACTTATTTATAAACAACCCATATTTTAGCTAAAAAAAATTAAAAACAAAAATTATATTTACAATTGCTTGTTTTTTTTGTTCAAATAGTTTAAATGAAAAAGTACCTGAGATTAATATATGGTTTTGATAAGGGATATAGATCAAAAGTCTCCTCCGAAATCGAAGTGGAATTCTGTAAATGTGAGATGAAATCTCTACAGAAGTACTTCTTTAGAAAACTATTTTTGTTTTTCGACATTTTTTAAACAAATTGACCAGCATCTGATAATGTTAATGTTCTTAAGTTATGGAAATGATTTAATATCTGAAAAATTACTTTCTTGCTGAGATCTAATTTAAGACTTTTTACTCAAACGACATTGATCTTGATCGTTCAATGAACCATTTTCCTGTCAAATTCGAACTAAGTAAAACTAAAGCTACTTTAATTGCACAGTCAAGTCACAGATCAGTTTGACACGTTCTGTATATATGTAAACATTGAGATATATATAATGCCTGACTATTGCATTAATAAATCTTTTCTTCTAATGTTTATATATTGTTGACAGTCGATAAGCCAATAATGCGAAGCAGTCCACTCAAACAGATCTCTGTCATCAATATGTATCAACACAACTGCTTTCAATATTTTCTATTAAAATACAGTTAGCAACAATAATAATCAAAGCTGATGTACATCAAAAAAATGACACGATTTGACAGGATGTTTCTAACTTTTGATAATTTCAAGAATATCAGAAGAACCAACGAGTTTAATAAAGAGTTTTTATTTAAAAGTTATTACAGTTCTGTTCTATTATACTGTTTCTGTAGCGATGAATCAATTGTGAATAGCTCGATGTTGCATGACCGCGAGTGCAAAGAAATGGATTGCATGAGGTATATTTTTAGATAACACTTGTAGATTGTACCCTACTTGCGTATCATGTGTCAATGGTTTGTTTAGCCAAATTTTAGCTAACACC